GATCACGTGGTCCGGGACCACCGCCGGGCGCACGTGCTCGTCGTCCACGTTCTTGTCGTACGACGACGACGAGGACGACGAGGAGCAGAGGGCCACCGTCCTAAAAATGAAAAAAAAATTAATTAGCTAGATTAGCAGGGAGTTTTGCGCAAAAGCTGAGACGTGCCGTGAAACATTGACGTCCGTCTGACTCGGAAACTTTTTTTTTTAATCCAGTATATTTGAAGTTATATCTTTTCAAAAAAGAAGATTAGCGGGGGTTGTTTGTATCAAATCCTATAATTTTAGGATATGGATTTCACCATGGGATTTGAAATCCCTAGGTAATTTGTTATGGGTTGGAATTCCTAAAACTTTGTTTGTTTCAACAATATTTTGGATTTGTAATATTTTTGTTTGTTTTAAACATTTTAGAATTTGAAATCCTTAATTTGTCTAACACATTTGAAATCCGCTCCACATCCAACCCAGAAAAGAGTATTTCACAAATCCTTAAATACAATATTTTTTTATTTTTTGGGGATTTGATATTCTAAAATTTGTTTTGAAACAAACAGGTTTTATTGAATTCTAAAACCCAAAAAAAACCCCCACTTTTTGATCCTAGAATTAAAAATCCCACCCAAATGCCAAATTTTTTTTTTGAAACAAACACCCCCTTTACAGGACCTGAAGCAAAATGAATCTTTGATTTGTCCTTTTTGAGAGAAAACTTTAAAGCTAGTTTTGATGAGCGACCACGTACCCCGTGAATAACGGCGGTCGAGAGTTTGATGCCAAGGCTCGGTCGGTAAATCGCTTCGCTAAGCTCCCAGCCGCAATCACTCCCCCCTTGGAGTAACGAGCTGCCATGAAAAATTGCTAAAACTAGGAAGAAAACGGATTTTTTTGAAAAAAAAATAGATCCAGAGCTCAAAAAGGGTGAGATCGAGTGAAGCAAAAATGAGACAGAAACATTTTGTTTAAATAGATCCAATTAACTTCCAACACCGCGCTCACCTACCCATGTCTACCGTTTAGCCCCCGTTAAACTTCACAGAATATTCCGTCGCATATTCTCCAAGCATGCACTCCATGATCGAGTTCGCGTCGCCTGCGATAAATTATAAACTAGTTGATCATGCTGCCATCCAATTATACATTGAAAACCATATATTATAGATCTGAAAATCCTACGTGGCATTATCCCCATTCTTGAAATTTGGAATCCAGGACGAAGATTAGGGTGATCGGATATATATTCTCTAATTATCATGTAATTAGAGAGGATCTGAATCCTCAAGGTGTGTACACAATTTGAATTTCAGATTAGGAAACACTTGATTTCAGTACGAATGTTTGGTTTGTTGCGGAAAATAAATTACAGCAAATATCGCGTGTTGCATGTAACGTTTGTTGTAGGAAATGAAATTCAAAGTTGTTGTCTGAATAGATATTGTTATTGTAGGAAATACGTTTCCTATTCAATTTTGGTGTTTAGTTAAAAATAATTAGTGTAAAAGCCAAACGATTATGTTATATAAAGAAACTTGGGGGAAAGACTGTTTTTCTATTTGGATTTAGAAACATACTCTTGAAGAGGTGCTTTTTTAAGCACGCAATCATTCATCCCAGCAAACTAGCAGTGGTGCTTTTTTCAAGCTTTTCCTATAAAATGCAAGTATATCTGTACTATATACTAAAGTAAAACCCTTAATCGTAACTTGGCAACTTCTTAGAACTTTCACCACTTGCCAACTTCCTAGAGTTTTTGGCCATTTGGCTTTCACTTTTTCATGAAAATACAATTAATGTTAAGGACTTTTATCATGAAGGATCTGTCTCCTTAACTTCTAGCATGTTTATTAATAGTTCCTTCTTTTATCTTTTACAATTTCATAATTAATGAAAATATATTTTCTCAAAATGAACAATAAAACTTAAATTATCCATTTAGTTGTGATATGATTAGAAAAAGCTCTTTGGCTCGACATGATCCCATTCAAATTCAAATAACAATATTCTTGCTTTCTAAAAGTCTTATTCCATAGCGTGCTCTATTTATGCATCAATCTTGACTGGATACGCTTTAAGGAGAAGAATGACAATTAGGAGAGTTTAGTTAAACATTTTAAAAAAAATCAAATATACAGACTTCAATGCTGCATCTATATATATATATATATCAATATATCTATATATATATACTAAAACAAAGCCCTTAGAAGCCATGTAGCATGCTTGAGATTTGACCTTTAATATTCTCTCCTATCTATAACTAATATTATACTATACGATATACTAATATACTACATTATTAGCAAGATTCTATTGTTACTTGTTAACCGTAATCCTTTTCAAATTCTATTGTTACTCTTAGAGAAAGTAACTGATTTTCATAAACTAAGATTTAAATAATGACAGTTTATATCTCTGTCCACTCTACATTCTATTAGCAGAAGAAAACTAAAAATTTAATGTCTTCAAAATCTAAATTTCAGTTGCCATAGATTAAGATCATTGATTAAACGCTCTTTCCAAATGTGAGGAAAAATTGGTCTTTGCATATAAATTTATTACTCTGATCTCCTTTAAACTAATCATCTTCTTTGGGTAAAAGATTGTTCATGTAGATATTGGATAGGTTAAATGAGAAGGTAACTATCTCTTATTGCTTCCTTCATTTTTTTTTAAACTTCTTTGTTTATTATTGTCTTGAGTTATTTATCGTATCATCATCGCTAGCATGAAAAACTTAACATGAATTATATATTATTCCTCCGTATGATTGATGGTTGACTACATTGTAATATAGCCAAATGATTCAAATACAATTGAGCATTTGGTTAAATTTTTTATATTTATGGAATATTTTCGTAATATTAGAAGACACAAAGATTTGTTTGATTAGAAATTTTTGTATATATTATAACTACAAAGTTACAAATTGAACTGCGTATTAATATATATAAATATTGCTGTTTTGACCTTTTCAACTTCATCGGCTACTACTAAATTTTTAATAAGCACACGCCAAACGGCCCCCTTGTTGGTGCAAGTAAATACTGACGCCGTGAGATCACGCAATGACTAAACTGCCCTCACTGTTAGTGATAAGGACTCAAGCCTTCGTTCGTGGTCAGTTGGCTAAGATCGTGACGTGGCACCAGCTATGCAATCACGTGGTGGGTCCCAGATTTGGATGGTGCAGATCGATGGATAAATGCTCTCACCTACAGAGAGAAGAGAACAGTGACTAATCAAAGCTTCACTCTCCTTGCTAAGTAGCACTTAATGGGCTGTTTGGATCGGGTATTTTGAAGGGGAAAGACGATTTTAAGGAAAGCTGTCAAAAAGCTGACAAATTGGTAGGTTTCCTCCTCCTTTCCTCTTCAAAATACCGGAACCAAACAGGCCCTAAGTAAGTTATAGTTTCACTAACTTTGTACTTAAAAACCCCCACTTGTTTTTTCACACCACTTATATATCCTAATGCCGAAGTTGCTTAATTAACATTTTGATATCATCCATCACGCAAACATGAAAGATTTCAACTGAATATTCTCATATGTTCTCACGCTAATTTATTCTAAGCGTCATGCAAAAACATTCGGGTGAAATAATAGATGGTATCAGAGGTGCTAATTCTGAACAACTTAGAGAGATATAAATGTTGCGAGACACAAGTGAGGCTATACAAGCGCAAAGTGAATGAAACTGTAAGGTATTTAAGTGATATTTAGCCTTATTTTTTTATCCTATTTCTCTCGCTATAACATCCTTTTTAAAGCTAGTATAATGTTGTTAATAAGGCTTAAATATGAGCTTAGTTATAGAATGCCATCATAATCTTTATCTTCTTCAAAGAAATCAGAATCATCTGCTGTCACGTGTAGCATTCAGAACTCAGATTATTTAGTATTTGGAGAGATTGCTCCCCAACATATATAAATTAATGAACTTGTTCTTCGGAAAATAACACACACACATATGAGATAAAATTTGAAGGGCCCGACCTTCATATGGGCCCTTCACAGTTATTTCTGGGCTTACCAACCTATATTTGAAAATAATAATAATAATAATAATAATAAAATAGTAGAACAAGGGAACCCAAAATAAGGTAAGAGTATAGGAAAGCGGAGGTTTGATTTGGGTTGACTTCATCATTAATTAAATGCTAATTCAGTTGTTAACCACTTCTAAAGCTTTCCAACAATCGATATAAAACTGATTTTAATAAAGTATCATAAAAGAGTTGATAATTTTTTTTACATAATAGATTGTTTCCTATTCGTAATTGCTTCACTGTTTTATCAAAAATGAAATTTTTTTGATATGTTGGAACTTACACTGGATAGCACGTGTTACAATTGGCATTTTATTCTAAAAAATATTTACTTGTGACATTGAGTAATCTGTATTGCTCAAAAACAAATGAAAAGTAAACAACTCAAATTAACGAAATTTATTAAAAGCAAACTAGTTTCAAGCCCGTGCGATGCACGGATTTGTCTAATATATAAAAAATGATATAGCAAAAGAATGCAAAATAAAACAGTAATAATAAATAAGTAGTCAGAAATGATACAACCTAAGTACATGTCAAGTATATATATCTATGAATCAAAACAATAATGATCAATATAGTGATAAACAAAATATCTATCATAATCATATCAAGTTGTTAGGTTTCTCAACGCAAAACCACCAAAAAAAATATGTAGTGCATACAAAAGTTTACTAAATAAAGTTTTAGACCAAAATACTAAATATAAGTTCCATACATCATAAATCAGATTGAGATTTTTTAGAAAAGGGCTTGAACTCTCTGTAGAATATTCTAATTCTCCTTTTCTATTTTGATTTGTTTTTGCTTTTTGTTGCTAGACATTTGCGTAGAGATCAAGTCTATTGAAACTGAGTGCTCGACATCAGATTCCAACGAATTTCTCTTACAAGGAGTAATGTTATCCGAAGAACAAATTTCTACTTCATTGTCACAAGTAACCGACAGTGATGCCTGTGTTTCAGTATAACATAATAATTAGCATGTTATTGAGGTGACAAGAAAGGATTGTTGTACAATTAATGTGAAGAGTCAAGAAATTAATAATAAAGCGAAAAGAAATAGGCAATCCAAAGTGATAATGATGAATGTTGTAGCCAGAAAAAGATACTACTGAAAAAGATATTAAAGAATACAAACATGAGGAATGAAAAAGAAAAGCAATACTAAGTGTATTGACTTACATTATTGACAGGTAGATAACACACCATGAATAGTTAGTTCCATAAAAGAATCTAGCAAGCTCATAGTTACCAAGCTCATAGTTAGTTCCATAAAAGAATCTAGCAAGCTCATAGTTACCAAAGCAAGGAACAATTGTTGACAGGTAGATAACACACCATGCAGAATGGTAAACCTACATATATACTTACAATTATAAGCTAACAGCGAGCTGAAAGTGTCATCATATAGTACATTTAAAAAAAAACAACAGCATCTTGAGAAAAGCTCCTAGCAAGATGATTATCACAGGTTTAAATACTAAAAGATCTGTAAGTTTCAGCACTACAAGCTATATTGATCTCTCCAACAGTCCAATATGTTTCCAGTTTAAAGCTGACATGTCCAATAACGATAAAGAGGATATCATCTATATGATGCAATGAAAAATTTATATGGCATACAAAAGTTTCTGATTACAAGAAGGTTCTTGGATATATGTTGTTCCTATTGAAATAAAGGACTTGTTAGTGTATACGAAGGAAAGATACAACAATCCGAAGATCCATATCATGGAGAATAGTTAGTATTTATTATAAAACGCAGTTACATGATTGTTTACAAAAAATCTTAGAAGATTGGAACAAATGAACACTATCTTTCATGAGAACTTAGTAATGAATTGTTCAACCATTATATTGTTCTGCTTAGTGGTAAATGGGTAGATTGCAAATAATCCCCCTCATCTATATTTTCACTAACAATTATCATCCCTCAATTATTTTGCTAGCGTTACCACCTTTGAATTTTAGTTAAATAGCTTGCATCAAAATAAAAAATGCAAAACCATAATAGATTTTGACAGTATCCTCAATTTTGACCAATCATTTAATTTTAAGGATAACTTTCACAACTGACTTCTTATAAATGACAGAATACACTCCAACACTAAAGTTTTGCATAAATACCTAGCTAACATTTAGGGGAATGGAATTTACTTAACTTTCCTTGTCTTCTTCCTACAGGTTTCCCTTAAACTTCCCCTACTCTTAATGAAACTGAAACATGCACATGTGATTACTTGGATAAACATGGTCACTGTTTATATTCTAATAATGGATATGTCTTTGATAGAAATAATCTTTTTCCTTGCTTCTTTGCTCAAAGGTATTTGATATATTGAACCTAAAGAATTTGTGACTCAGCAATGACAGTAATAATAGTAAGGGACTAATAATGCATGTTGATCGCGAAGAGGATCCGATGATGAACTTAAGATAAACAGTCAGGCAAGACTGAAGTTTCTTGGATAAACTTGGAGTCTAAGGACATGTAGATGATTATTATAATAGTGGATGTGGATTTTAATAAAAATTATCTTTTTGAATCTACAGAATTTGGGACTTAGCAACAAATTATTTGTTTGGATGGACAATATGAATAATACTTAGAATTACTAAAGGAAAAGTAATAAATGCAATAGTTAGTCTGATTACAACCTATTTATAATACATTATGTTTGGAGTTTTGATATAGTAGCAAAAATGATAAGAAAGGTAGTATAGTATGGAAATAATGAGTACAATTTTACAGTTTCCAAGAGTAATCACCTAACTTTATGACCTAAAATTAAAACTTGTGAATAAACACAAGTTAAGTTAAGACTCAATAATGTGGATAATCATTTTTATTAGCAGTATAGTATGGAAGGATAAGGAGAGCAACTATATACTTAGCTGCTTGTTCATCTTATTAAGGTTTTTTTAACAAATCTAAAATTTACCCCTATTTTGCATTATGGTATCTAAATTTATCCCTATTATTTAATTGGATTGTCAATTACTAATGCTTTAACTTGGTACTGATGAACAACTTACTATGTCAGATATCTACTTAGAGATCTCAATATAAACCATAAAAAATTATTATATAGGTTAGTTTTTGTGTGTGTGTGTGTCCATAAAAGGAAAAAAACATAAGTATCTTACATAACATACTCATTCAAAACTAAAATAAAAACTTGGAAAATTAAATACTTAATGTAGATATTTGCAAGGCAAAGCCAACTCCATTAATTGAAATCCAAGTAGCGAGTATTGTCTTTTAGAATAAACATCCCTACTGTGAGCTAAAAACATGAGAAACATATAAAACAAAAGGTTTGTGAATTTATAACACCCTTAACATTGGGACAATACCATTAGAAGTTTCGTTTGTTCCACGAATATAACTGCCCATTGCACAAGTATTGTGAACAGAAACACCAATTCCTCTAGCAGATTTGCTTATAACAGCACACTCCTTGAGAGTGTCATATATGCCCTCGATACTATCATCTCTCATACAAATAAGGAAGCAGCTGCTTAACTGGCAACATACAATTCCACTTGAATCAGAGGATAATTTCAAACTACCTTCAACTCATAAAAATAAATAAAAGGAAAAAGAACAATACCTGGGGACGAGGAGTGCCAACATTAAATAAGGTAGGAGAAGCATGTGTAAACCACCGCTGTGACATTAGATGGTATGTTTTGACAGCAGAATCAATATCTTCCTTGTGAATTCCAACAGCAACTCTCATCAGCATGTGTTGAGGTCTTTCTACAATACATAGTACATTAAATCCTCACCATATAGTAGTTGAAATAAGATCCACCTTTCTGTATGAACTGTGCAAAATAGCAAAGGCCACATCTTCAACGGGTCGATAAGGAACTGTACCTCCAAACCTTGTAAACCTGAATTTATACAAAAGAAAACAAAAGGTTGTGAATTTGACTCAAAAATAACCAATTCTTCCTAATTAAACTAAAGAAAAATTGGTTAGAATTCAAGCAATTACCATGCAGTCCAGACTTCAGTCCACATAGAGGGTTTATATGGTTTGTTTGGAGAGAAATCATCAAGATAAAATCCATTCAATGTAGTCAAAGATTCTACCAGTTACACAAATATGTGTGAATAACAACCTAATTTGTGGCCATCTCAATAAAAAACCATCTCTTTCCTTGAAAAGCTAAGATATGTGTGAATAACAACATAAGTTGTGGCCATCTCAATAAAAAACACAAACATTTGTGAGTACATTTTGCTCATCTCATTTTCTAAATAAATAATCTTTAAAAAAACAAAAATTCTATTAAGACCAATTTTTGTGGCCATCTCAATAAAAAGAACTAATTAATAAATTTTTACTTAGTTGTGGACACTTATCGGCGTATAGATTGCAGCATGTTCGCTTACAGATTAGTAGTTTGGCAAAAACATGAAGCCACATATAAATTAGAAAGAAAAACTACTTATACAGAAGATATTAACATAAAAAGTAATGTAATGTGGCATGAAGGTCCACATACAAATTGGAAAGAAATATGCATACCAAACCTTAACATCGATCACAGAAGGGAGAAATACTGAAAAAAGTACTAAATAAACATGATATAAATCAGGCTGTTTCGACAACTACAACATAACAATTGTAACTCCAGCACCACACATATCTATGGCTCGTAAAACCTTGTGCAATACAGTTCTCCTATATTATTCCATGATATTGAGCCACAATTTTTGGTGAACTCTTATAAGCATAAAATTCCAGCATAGTCACAATATATTGATAACCAAAACATGAGCTAAAGGCATCTTCCTAATTTGGTGGAGTAAGAAATTTCCTAAGATAACTGCACACCATTCAAATTTTTAGCTCAGGGAATGTTATTTTAAAAATTGACTTTAGAAGGGAAAACTACAACAATGTTAAAAATCTTTTTACCAATAGAGCCTCCAGCCACTTACAAATCAAAAAATAGCCAATGAATTGAATTTATTCAGAGAGCTTCGTGACATTTGCTCATCCATTAACTTTAGAAACCATCTCTTTCCTTGAAAAGCTAAGATCTATGATTTTCTAAATAAGTAATCTCAAAAAAAAGATTATGCAATAACATATCTTAAAAACATATTGAAAGGAGAAATTAAAAAAAAATCCCTAATTTTATATGCTTTATATACGTAAACATGACCATAATCGTTCGCCTCAAAATCTTTGAAGAATAATAAAGCAACACATTTTAGCTCTGATCTCCCGATAAAACATCGATAGTTTAAGATTATCGATTGAGAAGAAAAAATTGAAATGAAGCCCTAATTCTAGGCCTTCGATGCATTAAAGTTACCTGACTTTGACCCGAATATTGAACCCTAACCCTAGATGCCTCATCCTCAATCGAAAGCGAGCGGTGTTGTTGATCATGATAGAAGAGGTGAAGTGGTGGAGGCAGTGGAGGAGGGGGGGTAGAGGGAGAGGAGGTTTGTGTAGATCACAGTGAATACGTTTGAAACGATGAGACGAAGAGGAGCACGAATTCTCTGGTCGACAGAGACGAAGAGGCGGAGCACGATTTTTCTAGGAGACGAACACGAAGAGGCGAGCTTGGGAATTGAAGAAAGGGGAAAAAAACTGCTTCCTCGTAGTTAACGGCGGAATTCATTAGAGCAATGGAATTGAAGATGAATGTAGAAAAATCTGGAACCAAGCTTTAATTACGGTACTGGTTTCAATTGCGGTACTAGGACCAAGCTTTAATAGCGGTGGGGGATTTTTTTTTAAGAAAATTTTGAAAAAAAGGATAATTTGCCACTTGGCGGTTTCAGGGGTAAGAGTTTTTATATATAGTATATAGATGATAATGCAATTCGTATTTGATTACATAATCGACTGTTCTAGCCATTAATAAAATATAGGTGCAAATTGTTCTAACCAATGTTGGTTTATAGGTTATTTTATAGAAAATAAAACTAGTATTGAAAAAACAAATACGTACAAATATCAACATATTATTCGACGGAAAATGATAGGGGCACACCTCCAACCACAATCTTAACCACACTCCCTCTCTTATTTGCTACAGTACATCGGACCCCACATGATATTTTAAAATTTTAAAATCATATATAGAACCCGGTGTACTGTAGCAAATGAGAGAGGAAATGTGATTGACGTTGTGGTTGGTGGTGTGCCCCTAGTGCCACCAATCTAATTAGTATTAAATTACGTGACTGAAGATCCAAAACCCGCTTACCCAAAAAGACAGTCCTACCCCCGCCCCGCCCCCTTATTGATTCGGTTCATCGATCGATCTCAACCGTCCATTTCGTAAATTAGCCCCCAAGTTTATACACGCACTGCGTTTTTGCGCTTGAGGGGCACTATCGTCATTGTCCACGTTCAACGAATCCTATCTGCGCCGCGCTCGAAATCCATGAGGCGGTTCGCTATTTATACCCGCCCCTCGTCATTCACCGACCAAAGAAATCCAAAGCGAGAAATAAAAATCACATTTTTCTTTTCCTCCTCCTCTCCTCAAGATCTTGATCCGATCCAAGGTAATCTTTTTCTTAGTTTTCATGAATAGATTATTTTGTTTCCGTTGTGATTCTTGTAGAGTTTCACTTAATGTTTAATTCGCCCGAAGAATTTGGGAATAATTTTCCGTAGAATCCAATTTGGGGCCTCTTTCGAAGTTTTTTGTGGGTTAACTTCGAAAGGAAAATGCGGGAAATTCTTGGTTGTGATCTCGGTAGAGTTTGAATTAGATGTTGAGAATATGCTAGCTTGATCTGCATTGTTAATCCATGAGTTAATAGCTCAGTGATTGGTTCTTAACATAAAAATAAACACTCTCAAATTTAAAGTAAAATAATGTGGGGGTGAAATGTTTCTTGACATTTACATGCTAAGTGGTACTCTGCACCTATCAATTTATATTTTCTTGATGCTGTCACCTATTACAGTGGTATGATGTTTAGTTTTGAATCGATGTAAAATTGAGCATTTTGCTGAGTTTTCCAAAAACATTTCAGAAAGATTTGGTGTGATATCCCATCTTTGTAATCTGCTAATGTAGAACCTGACGTGGGCATCATTTTTTTCTTTGTTTTTTTTCCCAGTGAATTTGGTAAACCGAAAATGTCTGACACGGGTGAAAGATCATGGAGTGAAGAGGAGGAGGAACTTGATATGGAGAGTTGTTGCTCAGAGTCGGGGAGTGTCACTGATGGACCAGTCTCTAACGCGATTGATGGAGTTAATGGGGTGCTTAAGCTGAATGAGGAAGATGATGAGTATATCATACTGAAGCATCGGTTCTATTTGAGCATTGGCGCTCTTTCACAGCAGTGCATGGTTGTTGATGCTTATCGGAGTCTCCATTCTTCTCCGATGGAGAAAGCTCAGGTTGAAAGTTTCAGGATCTTCAAGGAGGCCATGGAAGCTAAGAGAGGGGGGGATGCAAATGTTGTTCATTCCTGGTATGGAGCATTGAAGGATGAGGTTGATCGAATCATGAAGGATGGCTTTCGTATGTGTGGATTGCCTGAGAAAGCTGGAACCTTTGGCTTTGGTCTGCATCTTTGTCCGGAGCTTTCTGCTCGCGAAAGGTATTCAAAAATTTCATTTGTTTGTTAATTTTTTTAACGTGTATACTGTTTTTGAGGTATTTTGTAGTAGCATTTCTTTAAAGTTAGGTTCAGTAGATGGTTGCCATAATTTTCATTAGGTTACTTTCATCACAGTACACGAGTAGTACTTGTTTCTGCATGCAGTATAGTATAAGTATCTGATCACGGACACATTAATGTATAAAACAGATACTTGAATTCTATTTGTTCCTCTAATTCCCACAAATACAATTTTCTGGAGTTTTAGTATTTACATTAACTTAACGTTCATGTTGAATGGTTTGCAGTCTTATTTCCGCACCAATTAGTGAGGATGGACTGAAGCATATGGTGATCTGTCGTGTCATCTTGGGAAGCACAGAGACGATACTTCCCGGCTCAAGTCAATCAGGTCCAAGTTCCGCAGATTTTGATTCTGGTGTAGATAACGAGCAAGCTCCTTCGAAGTACATTGTATGGTACCCTGATGTCAAGACGAATGTACTGCCTCTCTATGCGGTTACTGTCAAGATGGAGCTTAATTCAGGAGGTACACATCTAATCTTTACTATTATCTTAATGAATTAGTCAGATAGCTTATGCTGGTGTTTAATGCTTTTTTCCTTTTCTTTTAATCAGGGCTGCAGAGAGAACTAGATGCCACAAGGCCTGGCTCCAAATGGATGCCTTTAACCTCACTAGTTTATATCCTTTTGAATTTTGTACCTCGTTCCACTCTGCGCATGCTCAGGAGGCTTCATACAGATTTTTTGGTGAGTTTTGGATGGTCCTTTTATTTTTCACATTTTACTTGATGAAAATGAACTATGGAATTGTTATCACCTACTAATATTTGTGCAAATATGCGTCTTTCAGGAGAGAAAAATCACCCGCCAGCAATTTGTTTTTCGCGTGAGACAATTAGCTGGTGATGAAGTACTCGTTTATGCAATCAGGGACTTTCAGAACAAGGTACAGATGCTTAATTAGGGTACACACATAAAGCACATTTTGGCCATTCTTTCTTTCCATTTTCTTCTTGAAAAAGATTATCCGAAATCAGTTTATGTCAGTTATAGGTAAATATTGAGTCTTCTCTCGGAAATTGCAAATCTGGAAACTATTTTAGAACGTCTAAAGAAAATATGTGGTCGCCTAAATGAACGAAGGACTTAGCTTATTATAAAAGAATGTTGTGTGTGTGTGTGTGTGTATCGGCATCAAAATAGATCTCTTATTGATTGAATAGAATAAAGCTGCACATCAATTTCATATATGTGACCCTGTGTGTGTGTGTGTGTGTGTGTGTGTGTGTGTGTGTGTATCAGCATCAAAATAGATCTCTTATTGATTGAATAGAATAAAGCTGCACATCAATTTCATATATGTGACCATGTGTGTGTGTGTGTGTGTATCAGCATCAAAATAGATCTCTTATTGATTGAATAGAATAAAGCTGCACATCAATTTCATATATGTGACCCAGCATTTGACTGAAAACATGAAAGTTATTGAACAGTAAACTTTATGTTTGTTATTTTTTTATGGAGTTCACTTGAGTGATTCATAGATGTTTTCAGTCTGCTGAGGGCTATCATTAATCAGACTATCACCATATATATAGATAAAAAAATGAGACATTTGTTGCAAGTTTGATATTTAGCTCTCTTTACATATGTCAGTTCATACGTTAAATGTATAACAACTTGCTTTGCCAAGTAACTGAGCATGTATCATTATACTTGACAATAGTCAGATTTTGAACGACACCCTACATTCTACTTGCCATTCTTCTCGACTTGCAAACTTTTCTACCTGAACTACGAATACACTCACCTGCAATTCCCATTTCTTGTACCTGTTTTTTCAGCGAAAGAACGGAAGATTCGAGAAAATTTCCTGGTAGGACCAAAGATGGGGAGCCAAATTTACTGCAGGGAAGAGAGAATTTCATCTCGAAGCACCGGGGAAAATTGTCGCAATTCGAAAAAATTAAGCAAAGAACGAATTTGAATTGTTTCTGCCAAGAGTTTGGCAATGACGGCTGTGTACCACCCTCTATTGGGTTAATACTTTACATTTCCTCCAAACATACAAATAAAGTACAATTTTGATGTTATTTGTTTTCGGATTGAATTATCTGAATTTTGTTCACTATTTTTGTTTGAGAAGTTAGATTCAATTTAACAAATATTCCAAAATAATTGTGCTGCTGGTCTGCCACCCCTTCGGGTAACTTGTTCTGTCCAGAGACCAGCAGTGTTTTGTGTCAGAATGCAATGCAACGGGTAATGAATTAGTCTATTTTATCTACATAATAAAAATATTTTCCGAATCTTTATAAATTTAGGGGTTTTTTTTTGGGGCAATACAAAGAATTATTATGGGAAATAGAGACTGAAATAAGTACCTTTGTATTACCATGTTGTCAAAGGCTAAATGCAGGAAATCTCTTTTAACATGACACCAATCTAAATTTTACACTAATGAGAAAATTATGTTTCAGGTGCTTCAGTAATAAAACTTTTTTAATTTATCCATTGCTTTCGGTAACATCCTCCGATCGTTACAAAATTCTTTAGAACCATATCGTACAACTTCTCTTTCAGACTGGCAAATTATTATTTGCACCCAATAAGCCAGTTACAGAGGGGGAAGAAAATCTATAAGGTCTTCTGTGATTCTATTTCGCTTGACGAAGCCTATAACAGGATTACTGAATCCTGTATACAAGTAATTAAATAACAAAATACAGCAAATCCCTTCCAACTAGAAAAGAAGAACAAAACATTGCATCATGTCATTCATCAGGGTACAAGAAGAGGGGGATCACAGTTCCTTTTCTAGACCACATAACATGGTTACATAAACTTCTTGTGGCTTTACCATTTGATCCTACTAAATTGATGTCTCAATCTAATTTGGGAAATAATGTCATCTAACTTGTGCAGGATTGGCAAAATCACTTCAATCATGGTATGTAACAAAAAATGGAAATAACACGAGAAATTCATTCCATAATGCTAACTGTTACCTGCCAAGTCTCGATTCTGAGCCCATCTGTGGTGCCTGTCAATTGAGCAGTTTCAGTTGTCACGTCTGATACAAAATGTTCTGAGTTCTGAGCTCCACATGCTGTTCATAAATTCACAGGATTAGCATACTTATATGCATTATCCAGAAATTTTACCATAAACCTAGAGTTTGTTACCTTATTCCATGTCCTGACCCCACAAGAAATATTTGTTGCCTTAACATTATGACTCCCGTTTACAATTGACACGCAGTCATCACGTCCAAAGTTAGTGAACAAAAAAAAAAAATCAGCAAAATCGTCAAAATAGAAGATGAATAAAATACAGTGGCTTGAAAAGTTTCATCAAAACATTTACCAGTTTGAATTTTACGTGCGTGTGATATGAATTCCACCAGTATTCGGGCTGTTGTTTGATGCAGTGATAGTGAGATAGGATGCCGTGACATTTGTACATTTCTGAAACTGCAAATGTATCTGCTGGCTATTTTTCACTTTCAAGTTTCTCAGCTACCAATTTATTCGATGAACCGAAATATATCGCCTATTTAAAATAATAATTCGAATTCATGCATGCAATCTATAGCAAGAGAGTATGTGTAGATGGACTAACAGTTGGCGCAGACTTGCAAGGCTAAACATTAGAAAGAGAAAATTATAAGATGTTTGTCATAGTTATAAAGGATATATATATATAGTTTTCATTTATAATAGGAAAAATTAGATGCCTACAAGAGATAATTGATTTTGCATGAGTTTTCCCACCAAATATGGCCCCTTGCCGTTGATGGTTCCTCCACCAGCAACATGGAGATTGTTTATGCCATTGAATCTGATCCAATACCTGCCATTTGTTCCATCCCAATCTGATCGATGATACGAAACTTGGGTCGTTCCCTTGACCTGCATATAATTTTATGGCGAATCGAGTGCCACAGAGAAAAGGCGCGATTGAAAACTGGAAGTCATTATTAGAGTACTTATCCTATTAAGGTTAAATAAGGTTGATTATATTACATTACTTCTTCATAGATTGATGCGAGCTGTGGGACCCACCGAGTGTAACACTCAATCCACTGCCAAAATCGGCTAGCCGAAGTTACACTTGAGCCTTGGGGTTACCTATTTAAGCCACACAATTCACTGTAAATTCTCGATGTGGGACTAAAGTTGGGGTCTCACATGTATGCCTTGCGTTCTTGGTTGGAGGAGCTACTTTCGAAAGTAGTCCCTCAAATTATTGAAAGCGATATCAAGTCTCCCAATTCTCATAGTTTGTTTCAAATTAATCCCTCTAATTGCTGCTTGTGTTCTTGATTGGAGGAGCTACTTTTCGAAATTGGATGACCTACTGACAATTTCAATGGCTTGATGATGGACTAATTTCAGAGTAACCTAACAACCGAACTCCAATGATCCAAGGGACTAATTGCAAAATGTGAAAGATTTATATAGAACCAATGCGGGGGGGAAAAAAACTCCCAACTATAAAGTGTGGTAGCGCACGAGATGCCAAGCATGTCACCTGCACAACCACAAGTAAAGAGATTGGACAAAGTGAGCATATATCGTGTCACAAAACTTTTTCGATCGATATACATCATCATAACGGTTCAATTAAATGATCGTCCTAGGTTCGGTGGCATCAGATGCTACATGCACGTTTTTGGTAAGAAAACATGCATTCATGCATGGGACTTTTTCCATACTTGGTTCATGGGAACTTTGTCATAATAGCAACTCATAGGTTCTCTCTCTCTCTCTCTCTCTCTCTCTCTCTCTCTCTCTCTCTCAACATCAAATAATAATTTGCACAACGTGTACAAACGTTTGATATACATAATATCAAATCAACCAAAGCCATCAAGAACAGGTGCATGCATTCAGATATTTTTAACAGGACCCTGATCTGCAACATTATGCATGTACATGTGGCTGGTTTGGATAGAGAAGAGGGTTGCGGAGGTGAATGATCGATCTAAACCCAAGGGGAAGGAAAGGAGAGGAAGGGAGTGTGATGTAACCGATTGTGTTTGGACGGACAACTAGGGAAGGAAGAGGGAGCGAGAGTGACGAAACTACAACGTGTTTGTTTCGAATAGAAAATAGCAAGGGAAAGGAGCAGTTCGCTTAAAATCCAACCCCTTCCCTCCCAATCCATCCAGTTTGGAAGGGCTAAGAAAATGAGGAAATTAATTTGCATTTTTTTAACCCTCCCAATCCTTCCCCTCACTTACTTAAAAAAATGTAAACAAATACAATTTTAGATTAGTTAGCACTGTAACCTCCCTAACTCCTCCCCTCCCCTCTTAAGAAAAGCTATTCAAAGTGTTGAATAGCTGAACATTTTGACTTAAGTTATTAATATGCAGCAATATATCCTGTTATAGTTGCAATACAAATTTAGGTATACAGCTTTTATCTTCAAACTAGCAAGCTGCTAGTAATTTATTCTATCACATGCAATTTACTGAATCTACAAGTACATACAAATAATTATATAAGGAAATACAAAAACCATCTAAATTTAAATCAAATAAAATTAGCAAACTACAAGGAATTTCCCTTCCTAATGTGAAGATAGTGGAATCTGTCCACCAAACTTATGCAAATACAATACCAAAAATGATTGTACTAGCAAATAGTTCCCTTTTCATCATGCCATCATCCGATCAAGCACAAGTGGAAGGGCTGAGAACCCCTTTTTGTGACCATCTCACATTGCTGCATGAACTTTTTGTGATTCCTCCATCTGCTTTAACTAAATTGATATCCTCCAATGTTATCTCTTGGCATGGAACACTTTTGCTGCATTTGAAGTCGATCTTTGTATCTGAAGCAATTGTTCCTTTAATGTTCTTGTATGTGACATCACTTACGAGCACTGCTGATTTCTGCATAATACACAACTTTTGTACAAGAGAAGCGAGAAGATAAAAGAGGAGAGAAAAAAGAGAGAGGCAGTGAGGCTTTTACCTGTTCATAACAAGGTTTTTCTGAGTCACAATAATTTTGATCTATGACTATTGGGTTTTGTACATTCTTCATGTTGACATTTTGAAATCGAATGTGTCTTGCGTAGCCTTTTCCTCCCTGTTAAATCAGTACAAAATGACGAGAGGAGAAATATGGCAAGCAATTTCTTCGGTGCAAAGTACGTACACCTGAAGTTGATCTTATTTTCCTATAGTGACTAAAGGTAATCAGACAATCAATTGTCTTCTTGGGAATTGATGTTCATCTACATGCTTTAATTAAAGAGGAAGCATCAGCAATGTAGTAAAGGTCCATGACATAATTAGTCTGCATATGCCAAATATTGAACCTCCCACAATGACCAGTCCTTGAACTTATATTGGACATCCCACTTCATTGAAAAAAATCACTTGGTGATGGCTGAGTGAAGCACTAACCAGCTTCCTGATTGCTGATAGCAAATGTGCCCTCAACTTTATTTACTCATGTTCACTGGTATATGGAAGGACAGGAAAATTCTACTCTAATCAAGCAAAAGACTGGACAGAAAATGGAAGGCACGCGAGAAATTCAATAATTTTAACTGCTTACCTGCCAAGTCTTGATTCTGAGCCCACTGGTTGTACCCGTTAACTGAGCCGTGTCAATTGTCACGTCTGATACGTGGTCTTCTGAGTTCTGGGCTCCAAGACTTCCAATACTGCTTAGCAATTAAGTGTGCCAATATTTGTAAGATTAAAATAGTCAGATACATTTTCCAGAAAGTTGATGAGATTCAAATCAGTACTTTTGGATAAAGCTTGAGTTTTGTACCTGATTCCGTGTCCTGGACCACAAGCAATGTTCATTGCTTTGACAGTTTGAGCCCCATTTACAATTGATATGCAGTCATCACCTTCACATTTAGATAAAATCAGTGATATTGGTCCCAAAGAAATCGAGTAAAAATACAATTTACTAAGACAAAGCAATCACTTAAAAGATTAAGGCACTCAGAGAAGACAGGGGCTTGATCACTAAAAATGTTTTACCTGTTCCAATGTTACAGTGGTCTATGTTTATGTCGCGAGTGCTTGTGATATGGATTCCATCGGTGTTTGGACTGTTACTCGGTGAATTAATGGTGAGATGGGATGCTCTAACATTTGTACATTTCTCGAACTGTACATGGATCTGTTGGCTATTTGTCACCTTCAGGTTCTCAACCACCAAGTTACTGGTAGAATAAAAGGTTATCGCCTATTTCAGGGAGCAAAAAGGAAAAATAAACTTATTGAGAATAATCAAAACACAAACATTAATTCAAAAGAAAGTATTGCAAGATAGACTTACAGTTGGAGCATCCTTGCATGGCTGAAGATTAGAAAAAGAAATTATAAGAGGCTAGTCACATGTATCTAAAAGAATTTGCATTTGCAACATAATTTTTTTGTGAAATGGAAAAATCAAAATGCTTACAAGAGATTTATTGATCTTGCAAGAGTTCTTCCACCAGATCTGGCCATTGCCATTGATGGTTCCTCCACCTGCCACATGGAGATTGTTTATGCCTGCAAATAGGATCCAGTGCCTACCGTCTGCTCCATCCCAATCCGATTGGTCGGAGGAAGCTTGTAGTGTTCCCTTGATCTATATATGTTTTTAAGATGAAAGAAATTAGTGAAGGTCTAGTTTCATAGAGTATGACACAGTTGAAGATTGAAACTGATCAGTAGCGTAACTCACCATCACTGAAACATTTGATCTGCAAGGCCCAGAAAAGATGATTGGTTTCAGGAGGTAGTTCTCGTTAGCAGGCACCATGAGCGCGGCTGAAGAGGATGAAGAACACACTTTCTTCCAACCGTTGTTAAATGCCTGGAAGAGAAAATCAAAAGAGTAAGTATTGTCTATAATTGACATATGGTGACCTGGTACCAATATATGGGGTTACCTCTGTAGCATCACTTCCATCCCCTTTGGCACCATAATTAGCCACATTCACGAGTTCCAAATCAGAGGCAGTGACTTCATCACTGGCCAATTCTTCCACTGTGTTTTCCTTTCCATTGAGTACAGCAGATTTTGCAGGATAATTCCTTCTGCGATACGACCCAGGGTCTGCTTCGGAAGTAGGGAAAGAAAACAAGAGGAGAGAGATAAAAAGAAGCCCCTGTAGCCCCATTGTGCATGTGCTTCAAATTGAGGGATGAACTGATATAAATTGAAAAGTTATGTTAATTTTTTAAGATGATCAACTGTTGGAGATATGTTGTTGAGTAACAGGCTACAGGAAGCATATTTATAGATATCCCTGGAGGTTGATTGCTGTTTCGAAGAAAGATAATGGCGGCTCCACCCATAAGTTAGGTAACGACATCTATTCTTAGGTTTGAATTCATCAGACGCAAGTGATTAAATTTAAACATCTCTTATCAATTCACCAACAACCACTCAAGATTTTGTTTAGTTATCCTCCTAGATTTCTAAAGATAAATTATGGTCCCGATTTCTTCTGTCATAAATGTTCCTACATGCAGACATAGGCTAACACAAGTTATTCTACATGTATTGGGTTAAGTTATACCTTTGAATAGCACACTAAATCATTACGACTACCTTGTTTGTCATGGTTATCCCGGTTTGTGGTTCACTCGTTGATCATGGTTATTCCAGTTAAGCACAATTTTGCAATGAGAGGTAGCAGATGGCCAGAACTGATCAGGGTGGTTCTAAATTTGCAGACCAGAGACAGATGCAGCAATAAACCTTGAGAGCAAACTCAAACCAGCAACTTGACAACAGTTCTGTAATCTGACGCCCACTTGACCATGCTGATGTATTATCGGTATCTACTTAAACTCATTGTACTTCTGATCTTAAGGTTTATCCATTGAGTGGATCTTCCTGCACTACAACTTACCAAGGACTTTCCTGACACACTCACTTGACTTGGTACTAGAAGCACCATTCAACATAGTACAAACAGCGATATGAGAAGGCAGATGTAGAGGCAACTGCACAATCTGATGATCATTAATCGCGATTATTACAAAAAGATTAGACAGTTCTCTTTTCTACAAGAAACAACAATATGGGAGGAATAAGATGGACAGCCTCATATATTCTCCTAATTAGGGAAATCTATTTAAGCTATTTCATGCTATATTTGCCCAAATCTTTAATCATAAGCTTCTAATTCACGCTACTATTTCTTTTTCTTTTATACAGTACAAACAGTGACACATTCCAAAATGCGGAGAAACGATGCTACGACACGCAAGGACTAAATAAAAACGGGGCTTGGACGGGAAGAGTAGATTCTGTCTCCACTTTTGGTTTTGGTTGGCTAGAAATTACGGGGCCCATTTGACTTTTAATGCCATCTCTCATCATTTTTTTTGAACGAGCAAAAATGATTTCTTTAAGAAATAGACCAGTTCTATATCAGGCAAATTCTAGGAGCATCCAAGTGAAATTGGACATGCGTGCATCATGGTAGGCCTATTTCATCACGGATTTCATCGATCCATCACTTATGAGAACAAAAATGGTGTTATTCTATGGGTGATTACCTAATCGAGCTTCATATTAGACAGAAACCTAAATGGCACAGATCGTATCATGCACGCATATTTGTTAGCTTAGTGGCAGCTTAGTTCTTGATCCTTCTAAGATTCGACGCTATATGATGTTATATCTCCACTTGGGGTAAGAAAACATGCCCCCGAAGTTTGAGCAAATGGGAGACTAGTCATGGATCTTTTTCCTAACTCAGTTCATGGGAAGTTCCCATAATAGCAATTCAGATGTTTGAGAGCCTTGAGACATCCAACTGTGTCCCGTCAAGCAATTGAGCGTGTCCCAATTTAATAATTTTTATACTAAAGGGTACGTAGCAAATAGACTTCCAACTGCATGCAAAAATCCATCTATCAGAAGAGAACTTGATTTGCCACTCTGGGCTGTGCAGATTCAGATACATGTTCCTGTACAAAATCTCAGAAAATCATCCAAACAGAGTTTTCACATTGTTAAGGAACTAATAAAAGACTGAAACCTATCCTAAATTTTCAAATTAATCCGTGACATAATCTGTATCACGTTTTACGCGCATCCAAAACGCACGCGAAAGGATCCCGTGCAAATGTAATGAGATCGGAAGCATGCTCGATCTCCACAGGGGCGTCGAGCAGTCAGAGCACACTTTTGGAATTTTTGGCCAGTTTGGGTTTGGTGTCTTCTGATTTCCATAGTACAATCAATGTGTTCATCAAAGGAAATACTCAGGGCATAAACTTTACATGAACTCATACCTTCTGTTCCTCAATCCAGCGACAACCGATCTCATCGCTTCCAATCCACTGTAGCCTGTAGCAGAGAATTACAGTCAGCAACTAGTAAAGAATCACAGAATAACACGATTAAAAAAAAATTGAAAATTTAACGGGTACGGGTTTAAGTTTTAGCTCCGCTAACATGACGCCGGAACCGAGAGTGAAAAGACCGCGGACCCGATATGAACCCGATAAGGATCCGGCGCGTATTCACTTTTCGTAAATTTTAAAAGGGAAAATTAAAAAGAAAAAGAAAAAGAAGAAAAGAAATGTATTTGAGAGCATCGTTCGTGGCCTAGGGTTTAAGTCTAGGGTTTCGGAGTTGCCCTCAACCTCGACATGAAATCGGATGGCGCCATCGAAAAAATCTAAGGCGAAGGCGATCTCTCTCAACTCCATCCCCTCTCCCCTCGCCCCTTCATCCTACCATATCTCCACCGCTCGCCAGTTGCTCACTAAGATCTGCGTCTCCGCCGGCCTCACGCGCCGCAGAGCCCGCGTAGCCCTTACTACCGATCCCTCTCCCTTCCATCGGCCTCCTCTACCTCAAACCCTGGGTCTCTCAGCCTCCTCCATCGCCGCCTCCAAGGGCCGCACCCAGTTCCAACGCCCTCTGACCTCGTTCGCGCCATCGAGGAACCTCACCGCCCGACCAAACAGGCTTTCGCCGGTCACGCCTCCCGCCATCCGCACGGAGAGCCCGTGCATTCTGCGAGATCTTTACCGATCTTGAAGCGATCTTGAGATCCGTTTCATAGTGTAGCGAGAGTAAAGGGATATGGCTGCCATTTCCAAGCCAATACGTAAAGAAAAGGGGGCTCAGAGCTTTCACACCGGCGAGCGATAGGCCGCTTACTCGCACTGTTCCTGCCGTCTTGACCGCCGCACGTGCCCGTAGCGTGTGACTGCCGGGTTTTCGGCGACGGAGGGTAAGCTAGCAGTAACTAGGTAGTAGTAGGTGAGGTGATATAAGAAGAGGATGCGACGGGTGAGGGGGGGAGGAGCAGTAAGAGGAGGTGTGGTGAGGCAACAATAATGGTGATTTGAGCGGGGAGAGGCAGAAGGCCTGCCCGCGACAGAGAGAAAAGAGCTGCGCGTCTTTTCTTTCGCATGGCCGAAGGAGAGCAGGGTTCAGCGCGTTTAAATTGGCTACAAAAATAGCCATTAGAACTCGCATGAATTAAGATAAGTGAGATTGACAGTTGCTGCGGCGACGAGATGCAACACCAGCGATGATGAAATT